TAAGAAATTGAGTATTACAAATGTAATTTATAATTTTTCTAATCTATGCTACTACCCAAAGCATACTTTTTTGAGCCCTAATCCCTTATGATGTTACCTGGTCAAACAAACTTTGAAAACATTTTCATTTATCCCTTTTATAGATAATAAATAACAACATATTAAATGCTGTGAAATGTTCTGTTGTAGATTGGCTTATTTAGCTTTTATTCAATATTTCTTATACTCGAATCAGGTCTTATGGTTTGGATGTGAGGTATCACCCAAGAGTTGACATGTGAGACAATGCAAAGTGAAATGATTAGATTGACAGTCTTAACCCAGTGAATTAATCCCCTTATATGGATTAACTGAGTGATAATTTAAGGCAGGCTGGGTGTGCCTGGAAGAGGCTGCTCACTGGGGCATACTTTTTGGGTATTTATTTTGTATTTGGTGAGTAGACTCTCTGCTTCCTGATCATCATGTGAGCCACTTCCTTCCACCACATTCTTCTGCCATGATGTTAAGCCTTACCTAGAACCCCTATGAATGGAGCCAGCTGTCTATGGACTGAGACCTCTGAAACCATGAGCATTCAAAATAAATTTTTCTTCCTTTAAAATTGTTTTTGTCAGGTCCTTCAGTCACAGAAGCAAAAACTTAAAACACCAGGACTACTTTTTTTCTTCTTTTTTTAAACTTAAGAAATAACTACTAAGGTTCCAGGGAACTAAAAATGTATGGAACACACTTTGGAGCTAACTGCATACCTTTATACTGCTCATCTCTCTTCCCACTGGTATATGCCCCCTTAATAAAGTCAGTACAAACCAATCTCTAAATTTAATATAACTTTATTACTACAAATCTAAGTGTTATTACACCATAGATATACAATTAAACACCATAATCAAACTTCTATTCAACAGAGCAGATAATAAAGTATTTAAGTAATGGCTTAACATCTGATTTCTTATACTCTAGATTTGAACCTTTTATATAGTATCCTATTATAATATTCAGTATTAGCCGGCTACTGTATTCAGTTATAGATGTTTTATACTATCTACTAATGAGGAATTTTTCAACTTTATTTTATTGACATTCTACAAGATGCCAGATATCTGCTTTATTTAAAAGTTATGTCACCTGTAATTTTCTTTTTTTATATTTTATAATTTGATGAATATGGAGTACAAGAGCAACACGAAATACCCACTTACTACTTGGAGGAAGCAACAAATACTTTACTCCAGGGTTTGGGAAAATGAGAAGGGTTTAATAGATCATAAACACATGAAGGGCAATCAAAAGGACCAACATGTACAAAGACACTAAGACATGAAAGGGCAGGGTGCACCCCAGGAACAACAAAAAAGATCCATATATTACAGAGTTTTCTGGTAAGGGAGAAGAAAAGAGCATAAGAATCAGGGTAAATGGGAATAAACTTGATATTGTTCTAAAGAATTTGGGATTTATGCTAAAGCTGATTAAGAATCTATTTTTATCAGGAGGCAACAATAAAAATTCAATTTTAGAATAACTCATGAGTTAATATGGAGGATAGACTAGAAAGAAAAGGGAGATGAGATTGAAAAATTAGCTAAGCAACAAAAGTCCAATATGATGAAAAAGTAACACGAGGTAGAGAAGGAAAATATACTGAGGTAAAACTTGATAATGACCAGAAAGGTGGCATGAAGACAAGAAAAGAGAAGTTGAGAATGAATGTAGAAAAATAGCAATGACTTAAAGTTTGAAGTGTTTGTGGGATATGGAGGGACTTGGTTAAGATAATGCATGAGCAATTGGTACAGAGGTAGTAAGTGAAGCTATTAAGTGAATGAAATTTAAGAGAGAAAAGAAGGACCAAGGTCAAAACCAGGTGAGCAACAACATTTAAGGAATCAACAGAAGAGGATGAGCTAAAGAAATTAGAAGAAGAATACTATTTTAGAAATCAAGGGAGAAATACTTTTTAAGTAAAAGGTCAGCAGAATCAGATACTAAAGAGAAATATCATTACATTTAATTCTCATGAATGACAATGCCAGAAACAAACATGTATTGAATTTTTCATGTTAATTTATTCATTAAGTCTAAAAATGGGTAAACTTTATCCTTCTCTCAATAAAATTTTATTTGTTTTCAAAAATAGGAATTTATTCTAAAAACGTGAATTATAGGCCTGTGTGTTACTAATTCTTTAGAGTGGTCAAAAGTAGTAGCTACATTGTCAAGATGCCTAATTTAGGTATTTCCATGGAATTAATTAATCTAGAATTTCAATAGAATACCTTAACAACAGCCCAACAAAATAGGAACTTGGATCTTTCGAATCACACACTCAAATAAAAATATTTTTATTAAAAAAATCCAACAGCACCTAACGCTTAAAGATATCTATCATACTGTTTTGAAACTTATTCTTCATTCCTGATTTATTAAAATACTTCCCCACCTTATGTAATTTTTAAATCACATGTTTAAAACCTAAATATCTCTAAACATGTTTCTCAAAAAAATTACAACTGATCAATTATTTGGGAGGCTTAGGAGACTTCTTAGTATACTTACAACAACCAAGTGGCCTCATTTCAGCATTCTGTGTGTAGACCTGAGAAATATCAGCAATTCTTTTACACAGCATGTCCACAGGAATCTCATAGCCATACTTGTATTTCCAATTAGCTGCTTCATAGCGTGCCCTTTGTACCTGGGATCTGCTGTCAGCTTATAGCAAAAAAAAAAAAAAGGTTTACTTCTTTAAAAGGAAAGAATGAACCTGAACGTCAGGCAACTTCTTTTCATAAATACCTATACCTTTCTGTATATCTCTATTATGAGTTAAGAATAAGTTTTCAAAATGGGGTCCACTACAGCCCTTTCTCCTACCAATGAATATGGAATGACTCAGCAACAAGGTTTTTCTTTTTTTTTAAAGATGAAGTTTGTCAAGTATACTGGCCCTTGCTTGTAATCCCAACAACTCAGGAGGCTGAGGCAGGAGAATCTTAAGTTTGAGGCCAGCCTCAGCAACTCTGTTAGACCCTCAGCAACTTAGTGGGACCCTGTCTCAAAATAAAACATAAAAAAAGGACTGGGGAAGTAACTCAGTGGTAAAGTCCTTGGATTCAATTCTCACTACCAACAAAGTAAATAAATAAAAGAATGAACCTAAAAGTAAATAAATAAAAAGATACAGCTCTATATACTGCTTTGCCCATCTATAATGAACCTTTCACCAGTTGTCACAATTTTTTTTTTTTTTGTCGGAATAGTTTCTATAAGAGTCAAATTACTTTCTAAAGCACAAGGTTTTAGGACAGAGAATAATATCACTTGATCTTTGTTTCAGGCTTGAATTTTCCCTTGACTTCAAGAAACAGAAACCCAAAGTAATTTTCTTTTTTTCTTTGAGTTGTTGAGGATTGAACACAGGGGCGCTTTACCACCGAGCCATATTCTCAGCCCTTTTTAAAATTTTTGAGACAGGGTCTCGCCAAGTTGACGAGGCTGGCTTTGAACTTGTGATCTTCCTTCCTCAGCATCCTGAATTGCTGAGATTACAGGTGTTGTATCACCACACCTGGCCCCAAAATAATTTTTATAGTATTTCTTACCCATTTTTAATCAGTGTCATGATTACCAAATTTGAGCAAGACATAATGACTTAGGTCTCCTTAAATACTAACTACATCTGAAATACAGTTTCTCTGAGAGGTGCTTCAGCCCATTTTCCCTAAAAGTAGCATAAAGACCTGATACCATTACACTTCCACCTTCAAAAACACTCATAAACTGGGCAGGGTGGCACATGCCTGTAATCCCAAGCAGCTCAGGAAGCTTTGGCCCTAAGTAACTTAGTGAGAACTTATCTCCAAAATAAATAATAAATTGGGAGAGGGAGCCTGGGTATGTAATATAGTGGTTAAGCAAAAATCATTCACAGTATTCTTAAAATATTGTTTCTAACCTGAGAGTATTGCATATCTACTTATATCACCTAGAAAAATCAGGCACTTTGGTGCTCTAAAATTAAATGCAAAACTCAAAAAAGTATTAAGAAAATAACATAAGGCTAGTATATTTAAACAGACATCTAGCTGATTACCTGTCATTCCAGTCATCACACAGCCAATGTTTTCAGTTATCTTGAATAAGTGAGTCACTGTGCTGGAATCCAATAATTTGTCCTAATGAACAAAATAAATCAAAACAATTTTAAAAAAAGAGAAACACCTTACAGGTCTCCACAATTATAAAAACATTATGCAGCAATAAACTATATAATGTTACTAGACATATAAAGTATTCTAATCACTTTATGGTTAAAACCAATTTGGGGGGCGGGGTTGGACTTTGTTTTCCTTTCCTAGATATTTTTCCTGTGGGTTTATTAAACTTGTATCAAGGTCCCAGAAGACAAAAAATTTAGAAATTCCCTTGTGCTCATAATCATATCACTGAATTTAACATGTTACTTCTGTCTACTCAGCTAAACCATTTATAGATGCTCAACTAATACTCCTTGAATAACTAGTAGGAAAGCAGTCAAAGCAAGAATAATGTTAACATATGAATAAAGTAATACACTTTTGTACAAACTCATGAAAAATTCTCTTGAGATGTATTACTTACAGGTACTTTCTTCTGTGTGACAATTACTGCACAGTCTTTCCCTCTGACAGCTACTGATGTAAGACCACCCTGGTTTATAGCCTTAAAAGCATATTCTGAAAAACAAATAGGTTTCTTTAAAAGGTAGAATAATTTATTATAGATTCATACAATGCAATAACAAATAGTCATTAAAAAGAAAGAAACTGCCTGGATACAGTGGCACATGCCTATAATCCCAGCAAGCTGGGAGGCTGAGGCAGGAGGATCACAAGTTCAAAGTCAGCCTCAGCAATTTAGCAAGATCCTTAGCAAATTGGTGAGACCCTGTTTTAAAATAAAGATAAAATAAAAAGGGCTGGGATGTTGTTCAGTGGTTAAGCAACTCTAGGTTCAATTCCCGGTACCAAAAAAGATAAAAGGATGTGGCTGGACTGGGGATGTAGCTCAGTGGTA